CCAACCAGGGACTGAACCTGAGGTCATGGCAGTGAAAGCGTCAAGTCCCAACTGCTGGACCACCAGGGAATTCCCTCTTTTTGAAAATTTAAAAAGTACAGGGCTAATAGAACACAGCTACATTCTCAGGTGCTTCTTTATTCAATCTGTTGCAATATCACATGTCATGTAGCCTCTAGAAATTTCTCTGAACACTCATGAGGGGATGAGAGTGAAAAATCCAAACAGCATCTTAGTATTATTATGAAAATAATTTTGACCTCACAGACCCACTAAAAGTGTTTAGGGTCCCCAGATCTCACTTTGAGAGCCACTGACTTAGGACAATATTTATTCAGTGTTAATTATGGGTGAAGATAAATAAAATCCATAATTACTTGTGTATAAGTATATAAATCAGGTAGAAATAATGACGTACATATGTTTTAGCCTTACCAACACGTAAACAGTCTGTTTTCTGTATTATAAACTGTTGGTTCTACTGTCTGACAAATTATTCTTACAAGATACATGGGTTGATATAAACATCTAGCAAAAACATGGTCTTATGTCAGTCTACATGAAAAATAACCACAGGTTTTGAATCACATGGAATTATAAATCTCATTCTGAAATTTTTTTAAAAGAAATTTTGGTTTTGATAAATTATAGATTTAGAGGAAGTTGCGCCCCCGCCCCGCCCCCCACCCCCGGCCCAAAAAATGTACAGGGAAGTCCTGAGTATCCTTTAGCTAGTTCCTTCAATGATAATACCTTCCAAAACTATAGTACAAGGGGAAAACCAGGAAATTGACATTGGTACAACCCACAGAGTTTATTTGGATTTCACTAGTATTGTGTGTATGTGTGTGTTTCTCTGCAATTTCATCCCATGTTAGATTGTGACACTATCACAATCAAGATAAAGAACTGTTCCATCACCACAAGGCTCCCGGTTGTATCTTTTTTTTTTTTTTTTTTTTTTAACATCTTTATTGGAGTATAATTGCTTTACAATGGTATGTTAGTTTCAGCTTCACAACAAAATGAATCAGTTATATATATACATATATTCCCATATCTCTTCCCGCTGCGTCTCCCTCCCTCCCACCCTCCCTATCCCACCTCTCCAGGCGGTCACAAAGCACCGAGCTGATCTCCCTGTGCTATGCGGCTGCTTCCCACTAGCTATCTACCTTACGTTTGGTAGTGTATATATGTCCATGCCTCTTTATCGCTTTGTCACCGTTTATCTTTGTATAGCCACATTTACTTACTCCCCTCAACTTCCTCCCCACATACTAACTCCTTGAAACTGCTAATGCAGCATCTCTATAATTTTATCAATTCAAGAGCGTTATATAAATGGAATCACACAGAATGCAACCTTCACTCAGCAGGATACCCTTGAGATCCATCCAAGTTGCATGTGTATCAATAACATGTTCCTATTTCTTGTTACATAGTATATAATCTGGTATTGGAAGTACCATTGTTTGCAGAGCCAACCATTCCTCTGCTGTTGGGCATTTGGACCATTTCCAGTTTGGGGCTATTATAAATAAAGATGCTATGACCCTTTTTATACGTTTTATTTGAACACAGTTTTCATTTCTCTGAGATAAATGCCCAAGTACAACTGCTGGGTTATATGGTAACTACATGTTCAGTTTTATAAGAAACTTCCAAACTATTTTCCAGAGGGCTGTACCATTTTATATTTCCACCAGAAACGTCTGAATTATCCTGTTTCTCTGCATCCATTTAGTGTTATTTTTATGTTAGCTAGCTGATAGGTATATAATATCTCATTGTGGTTTTAATTTGCATGTCCCTAATGGTTGATGTAGAATACATTAAATGTGCTTACTTGCCATCTATATATCTTCTCCAGTGCAATGCCCATTTTTCAACTGGATTTTTTAAATTGAGTTTTGCGAGTTCTTTATATATTCCAGATACTAGTCCTCTGTTAGACATATGGCTTGCAAACATTTTCTCTAAGTCCGTATCTTGTATTTTCATCCTCTTTGAGGATTAACCCATAATTTGGATGAGGTCTAATTTATCATTTTTTCCTTTTATGTATTTCATTGTCAACTCTAAAAACTATTCACCTAGCCCCTGCCCACCCTTCCCAATTTTTTCCTAAAAATTTTATAGTTTCACATTTTACAGTTAAGTCGATGATCCATTTTGAATTAATTTTCATATAAGGTATGAGATTTACATTAAGGTGTTTGTTTATATGTTTGTTTTGTTCTGTTTTTGTATTTGTTTTGCCTATGGATGTCCAATTGTTATAGCAGCCATTATTGAAAAAGTCGAAATCCTCTGTTAAATTGCTTTGGCATCTTTGTCAAAAGCCAGCTGGGCATATTTTTTGGTTCTCTATTCTGTTCCATTGGTCTGTGTATCCCTCTGCTAATATCATGCTGTTTTATTACTGTAGTTATAGAATAAGACAACAATGGCAAGACTGGTTCCTCCCACTTTGTTTCTAAAATTGTTTTAGCTATTCTAGATCCTAGTCGTAAACTTCTCTGTGTCTACAAAAGCTGTGCTAGGATTTTGATAGGTATTTCATTAAACACAGAAATCACTTTGGAGAGAATTGATGTCTTTACCATGTTGAGTCTTCCAATCTATGTACATGATATGTCTCTCTGTTTATTTAGGTCTTTAATTTACTTCATCAGTATTTTGTAATTTTCAGTGTACAAGTCCTGTCCATATTTTGTTAGATTTATACGTATTTTATTTTCTTTGGAGTGATTATAAATAGTATTGTGTTTTTAATTTGTTTCCACATTATTGTTTTTAGTATATAGAAATGTAGTTGATTTTTATGTGTTGTTTTTGTCATGCAATCTTGCTGAGCTCACTAATTAGTTCCAGAACATTATTTTGTAGGTTCCCTGTTTTGCTTTTTTTTTAAATGTAGATGATCATATCATCTATAAATAGGGATAGTTTTACTTCTTCATTTTAAATTTGTGTGCCTTAATTTCTTTTTCTTGCCATATTGTGCTGGCCAGAATGTCCAGCACTATATTGAATAAGAGTGTGAGAGTGGACATCCTTGCCATGTTCCTGATCTGAAGGGGAAAGCACTTGGTTTTTCACCATTAAGTGTGATGTTATCTGTAGGTTTTTGTAAATGCTCTTTATCAAGTTGAGAAAACCCTTTTGATTCTTGTTTGATGAGAGTTTTTATCATGAAAGAGTACTGGATGCTTTCAAATGCTTTCCTGTGTTGATTGATATAATCATATGATTTTTCTTTATTCTTTTGATATAGTGGATTACAATTAAGTGATTTTCAAATACTGAAACAGCCTTGAATACTGTGAATTATTTTCAGTTGGTTGTGTTGAATAATTCTTCTTATACATTACGGGGTTCAATTTGCTATTATTTTGTTTTGGATTTTTGCATCTAATTTCATGAGATATACCAGTCTCTTGTTTTCTTTTTTTTGTTCTGTATTTGTCTGGTTTTGGTGTCAGGGTAATCCTGGCCTCATAAACTGAGTTGGGAACTGTTCCCTTCTCTTCTATTTTATGAAAGTGACTCTGTAAAATTGGTGTTAATTCTTTAAATGTTCTGAATTGTCTTCTCATTGGTAATTAATTCTCTGTCTCTGTTATCTTTCATGGTTTGAACATAAGCAGTTTAAAAATAGGGATAAAAATCTGTCCCTTTCACATATATACAATGGAATATTACTCAGCCATAAAAAGAAATGAAATTGAGTTATTTGTAGTGAGGTGGATGGACCTAGAGTCTGTCATACAGAGTGAAGTCAGAAAGAGAAAAACAAATAACGTATGTTAACGCATATATATGGAATCTAAAAAAAAACAAATGGTACTGATGAACCTAGTTGCAGGGCAGGAATAAAGATGTAGACATAGAGAATGGACTTGAGGACACGGGGTGGGAGGGGGAAGCTGGGGCAAAGTGAGAGTAGCATTGACATGTATACACTACTGAATGTAAAATAGTTAGCTAGTGGGAAGCAGCAGCATAGCACAGGGAGATCAGCTCGGTGCTTTGCGATGACCTAGAGGGGTGGGATAGGGAAGGTGGGAGGGAGGCTCAAGAGGGAGGGGATATGGAGACATATATATGCACATGGCTGATTCACTTTGGTGTACGACAGAAACTAACACAGTATTGTGAAGCAATTATACTCCAATAAAGATCTATTAAAAATTTTTTGTCCCTTTTATCTTACATGAGATTTTTCTAGAACATGTAGGGATAAAACCCAGTTCTTAAATGCGGTGAGGTCAATGCCTGGATAAATGGTCAATCACTCAGCTGACCTTGCATAACCTGATCTCATGTACTCAGAATGCTTAGGTAAAGCTGTATCTACAGGTATAAATAAGTCAGGAAGTGGATTTAGGAGAACTTTGATTGATACTACCTGCTGTCTACTCTTGCCACATTGCTGGGGTAGCATTTACTTTGCACACTGATAACTAGCTTTACAGCCCAGCTACCGAAAGTGAATAAAAAGCAGGAGAGATATTATCCTTTCTTTCTGTTTTCCCAGCTGGGAATGTAGAGATGGGAAGGATGGGCTCAAATGCTTGTATATTTTATATATCATATATAAGCTTATCTATCTATCTATCTGTCTATGTATCCATCCATCCACCCACTCATATAGATATCCTTAGATATTATCTAGTTGAAATTTCATGTTTCATAAATAAGGACATTAAAGCTTCTTAACAGGATGTTAAGATCTTAAAAAGAGAACTTCTTGTTGTTATCATTATACCTGATTCTACTGGTTGATGTGAGAAGTAGGAAGAGTCAATTCTCTACCTCTTTCCAAAAGAGAAATTGCTTTTTTTATACATGGCTTTAGAGTGTATTGGGAGCTGTTAAGCAGAGGGGTCAAGACACTGATGACTATTACTATTACTATTAAAATTACTGGTTGTTGTTATGCCTGTTAAGCCAATTTTATAGTAACTTTTTTCCCATGTCTGTTTTGCAGAAGAGCCATGGATTACTACAGAAAATATGCAGCTGTCATTCTGGCCACATTGTCTGTGTTTCTGCAAATTCTCTATTCCTTTCCTGATGGAGAGTTTACAATGCAGGGTGTGTGACCAAACTTGGGTTTGCAGTAACAAGAAAGCACACATTTCTAGATGTACATCAATAACTCCATTAATTACATTTCTACCTCCTTTTCAAATGTGATAAATCTTTGCTGTTGGATATCTATCTAGGCACTTTTAGACTGTGAACATAAAATTAAACTAGGTTCCAAAAATGTACAGTGAAAATGATATCTTACATGTCCATTTAAATAGCAGCCTGTACATTTCCATCTGAAATAGATTCCTGATTATTCTTTATCTGAGTTTTACAAGCAGAAAGTGCTCCTTATTCAGTCTAGCTAGTTGACTTTTTTTCTGTTTTTTACATGTCTCCCAGAAGATTTGGGAGGATTTTAACATTGCCTTTGAAGACGAATTTTCAAATCAGTTTCAAATCAGTTAACAAGTGAGAAAACAAAACCATTTTATGCAGTAAATTTGTTTTGCTGTACTTTCTGAAAAATCTCATATAGTAGCTGATATAATTCCATCTGCTATGAAATTGTGAGCTACTATTGATGATGGTTTTTCTCTAGACAAGTGATAATATTTTAACCCCTGTTCCCAAGTGCAGATGCCTGATCTCATATCAGGCTGTGCCACTCACCATGCTTTCTTAATTCTGACACATGCTTTTCTTTGTCAGTATTTGGAGTTGCTATGGGGCAAAAACAATAGCAGATTCTAAATGGGAAAATATTTTGCCTCTGGGCAAAATCCTTCTTTCGGATGAGCATGGTGTTTTCATCTGTCAAGTTTTGCATTCCCTATAGACATACTATCAGCACTGGAATTGAGAAGTCATACTTAAAGAAAGAGAAACTACTGCTACTGAGATTTCCCATGCATATCTGCAAAAATCGTTTTACCATGAAAATAACTGTAGTCGGTACAAACAGATATTGTGTCTGAAGATGAACATACAGCCCAAAAGTATTGGGTTGGCCGAAAAGTTCGTCCGGGTTTTCCATATTACAGAAGAACCCGATGAACTTTTGGGTCAACCCAATATTTATTTATTTATTTAATTTCTTTTGATTTCCAATAGATAAAAAGAATATTTGCTGTCCCATAATGAGGAAAAATGTATAGTTTCTTTTAAAATTATTTTTGGATTATTTTACTCTTTGCCTTTTTTTTTTTTTCTTTCTTTTTTTCTGGTGATAGGCTGCCCGGAATGCAAGCTAAAGGAAAACAAATACTTCTCCAAGTTGGGTGCCCCAATCTATCAATGCATGGGCTGCTGCTTCTCCAGAGCATACCCCACTCCAGCGAGGTCCAAGAAGACAATGTTGGTCCCAAAGAACATCACCTCAGAAGCCACATGCTGTGTGGCCAAAGCATTTACCAAGGTGAGAACTGAAAGGGCCCCAGAAACTTTCTAACAGTTCAACCAGAGAAATGTCCTCAGAGCACATCCATGGGGTTTAATGCCAGAGGTATCTGATGACCCATGCTTTATTTGTAGAGTGAAGGGCTGCATTTGTCCGCTTTAATCAAAAGAGTCAGCAACCTTGTGGGCACAGGCTGGATTTATTCTGAATGAAGAGAGTAGGGGTAGAGGTGATGAGGGGCAGGTTGGGAGAGAGTATAGAATACTTAGTGCAAACCTAAGCTTTCAGAGTGAAAATATCAGCTGAAAAGGAGAATATGCAAATATAGCAAGCATCTATTTAATTCAGCTGGCTAGAGTCCATTTTATTTAACAGTTTTCAGTTTTGCCCACCTATCTATCTAGCTATATCTGTCGTCTTTTCCCCTTCCTCCTTAGGCTACAGTAATGGGAAATGCCAGAGTGGAGAATCACACTGAGTGCCACTGCAGTACTTGTTATTATCACAAATCTTAAAGAGTTTGCAAAGGGCCGTGTTGATGACTGCTGATTTCCTGGAGTGGAACATTAATTTGTTCAGTGTTTATGACTTTGCAAGATAAAACCCTCCTTTTCCTGACCGTACCATGTTTTACACGCTTTAAGAATATACTGCAGCTTTATTGCCTTTCTCTTTATCCTACAGTATAATCGGCAGTCTTGTTCTTTTCATTTGGAATGAAATACAGCATTTAGCATGACCATAAAAAGCTGGTTCCGCTGGAAATAAAGTCTTTTAAATCATCATTCTACCACTGAATTCTAATTTTTTCTGAAAAGTTTCAAGCCAGTTACTTTTTTTTTTTTACATCTTCATTGGAGTATAATTGCTTTACAATGGTGTGTTAGTTTCTGCTATATAACAAAGTGAATCAGTTATACGTATACATATGTTCCCATATCTCTTCCCTCTTGCGTCTCCCTCCCTCCCACCCTCCTTATCCCACCCATCTAGATGGTCACAAAGCACCGAGCTGATCTCCCTGTGCTATGCGGCTGCTTCCCACTAGCTATCTATTTTACGTTTGGTAGTGTATATATGTCCATGCCATTCTCTCACTTTGTCACAGCTTACCCTTCCCCCTCCCCATATCCTCAAGTCCATGCTCTAGTAGGTCTGTGTCTTTATTCCTGTCTTACCCCTAGGTTCTTCATGACATTTTTTTTTCTTAAATTCCATATATATGTGTTAGCATACGGTATTTGTTTTGCTCTTTCTGACTTACTTCACTCTGTATGACAGACTCTAGGTCTATCCACCTCATTACAAATAGCTCAATTTCGTTTCTTTTATAAGCCAGTTACTTTTAATAGGATTAATGGGAGGAAGTGAGCCAGTGTGGGCCCCTACATACTCAGTGACCCGACACTGGAGAATCTTGTTCCCACCAAGCCTTCCAGAGCAAGTGGTGAGTCCTTCGGCCAGTGTGCTAGTTATGAGACAATCCATTGGGGTGAAGGAAGAAAATATAACTTCTATTTCTATTCATTTTCACATTATCCCTTTAGATGACCATTTGAATGAATTTTATAGAAGTACAGATACATTAGTATGGTCATGCATGTACAGAATTTATCAATAAATAAATATGCAGATATTGAGGATGTTTGGTCTGAAACTTTTTTACTGGTAGAAGTTTTCAATCAGGAAAAAAAAAAAAAAAAAAAAAAAGGAAGAACACTGCTCTAGGGTTTGGTAAAGACAAAATCATCCCCAGCCTGAAGTTTCTATCCACTGGCTTATGCCTGACCAAAAAAAAAAATGCATCTTATTAGTTCCTGGCAGCCAGGTTGTAACCAAACAGAGGCTAAGGTAACGATATCATCCTCTTACATTCCATGTCCAGATCCTGATGGGAATGAACAAATGACGAGCAAAGAATTCACTGAGCACTCACTGTGGGCTAGGAGGAACAAACACTTTCACTTAGCTCTGTCCAAATGCTTAAGAGTAGTGCCATGCTTCAAAGTCACATTTATTGAGCATTTATACTTATAAACAGAGATAGATCATGGTTCTTACCCATTAAATTAGATTAGCTATGGTAGAGATCAAAGCCACCCAAAATTTCAACTCCTAAGGGAGCCTGAAATTAAAAAAAAAAAAAAAAATCACACTGGTCACAGATAACACTTTCAAAAAAAAAAAATTCACTCATCACCAATTTGTCAGATTCCATTTCTGAATGAAAACCCAATTTCTAACAGGTAGGTAAACACACCAGGTGTCTGGGTGAAAAATTTAAATGAGTGCATGTATTTTTAAAGAAACACTGAAATGCATACGCATTACTTAACTTGTTCATTCATTTATTTATTATACATTTATTTAATGTCTAGTAAGTGCTGGCCCATGATTAGATCATGGAGATTCAGAGATATCAGGATTCTCTGGAAGATAAGATTGAGAAAAGCTAATACAGCTTAATTTGAGAAAACAATGATGCTGATTCATGGGTTCATTCAAACATTTAATAGATATTCATTGAGAATCTACTATGTGTCAGGTCTTGAGAGCTTGTTTGCAGGATTCAGCAGGAGAAGAAAGCTAGCAATACACCCTTGACTGGAGTGCCCTTGTCCATCTGGGATCATCCTATTTCACAGAGGGGATGGAAGAAGTAATGAGAGAGGAAGGGGGCATCCCCACGGTCATTCAGATCAGCCTAGTCAACCCTGGTGAGCACTAGAATAGACACGGATGCTGCTCTGAAGCAATCCACAGTCCGGTAGGGAAGAGAGACGCGGGCAAAGAATTAAGATCTAGTGAGATTATGCTATGTGAAAGGTATGGATTTTGGTGACATTAAGGGAGAAATGGTTAACTTGGCCTACTGGGGTTCGTCATGGAGAGCTTCACAGGAAAGGTGATACTTGAGTCTAGAAGATAAGCGGATTGATGGGGGAGGGGTTCAGTCTGCTTTGAGGAAACAGCATAGGTAAATGTCCTGAGATGGGAACCAGTATGATGGTCATAGAATGACAAGAAGTTCAGTGTGCCTGGACTTCAGGGGCTGGTTGGAGCGCTGGAGCTCCAGAGACAAACGGACAACTGTCAACTAGGCATGCGAATAACATGCAAAGAAATGTACGTTCCAGCTAGGACCTTCCTTTCTCAAACTAGGGGGCCTGAGGGTTCCTGAAGCCACAGGATTAGACACCTTTCTGTAGGATCAACCTTGCTTGAAGATTTGGGGACATGTTATTTTAATTTCAAAACAAAAACAGATACATTATAGAGTAGAATGCAAAACTGCCAAAATGGGGTTAAAAATTGCGACTTAAAAAGAAACTTCACATTGTGGGTGGGGACTTCTGCATCCTGCTCTTCTGACCCGTCCCAAGCCTCCTGGGACCTGGTTCACTCTTCTTGCATTAGGAGTTCTTAAGCAGAGGAGTTTGAGAAGTGCTATTAAAGGAATAATAGGCTCTGCTTTGTCCTTTAGAAAAATCATTCTGGCAGCAGGTAAAGGGTGATTTGAGAAGGGGAGAGACCAGTCACAGGATCATGAATTGGGGCCTTTGCAGAACTGTCTTGGCAAGAGATGGTGGTGGCCTACTGGCGGTGAGGGTGAGGGTAAGAGGAGGGGACAGATTTGGGAGGAATTAGGAGAAAATGAAGAAATGATTGTGGGTGTGACTCCTGGCTTCTTGGGTCGCTGATGGATAACTGTGCCCCAAACTGGGAAATGGAATAGGTCTGTGTGGGAGCAGATGGGGGAAATGACAGTTCAGTTTGGGACATGCTGACTCGAGGTGTCTAAGGGGTACTGGGTGAGCGTGTCTAACAGGCAGCATGTACAGCGATAGACACGGAGCTTAGGAAAGGCCTCCAGCCTGGAGGAGTGGGCTCGAGGGTCACCTGTGCTCAGTGGTATCAACCCCACAGGGGTGGCTAGGATTGCTCACGAGGGCGTGAGGGTGTGAGGAAGGGAAGATGCTGCACCACCAAGGAGAGATTCTGGACCAGCCTGGCTAAGGAAGCGGCTGTTACGTCTTTGGGGACAGTCAATTAGAAAGCTGTGACAGGAGCCCTCTGGAGAAAAGACGATCATCTCAGATGGATAAGCAGCAAGGTGGCAGAGAGGCAGGCATGGAGGCTGGAAATTTTGTTTCAAACCCATCTGAAAAATGCCTAAAAGTGGTATTAAGGGAAGATGATCATGTTTGAGGGGCGCTTCTTTCAAGAAAACCTCTCCACGATTCACCTCAGCCAGGGGGAGCTGCCCCAAATTCTCCCGTGTGAGATTCTTTCCTTATGTCTAAAACACAGGATCCCAGGCACCTTTTTCTTGAATGGCAACACGTCTGACTGAGGCAACACAGCTGACCATTAACATCATTAACAATGCCATTAACAAGATGAGTTAAACAGGCCACCAGGTCTGTCTGCAGGTCCTGGATCCTGTTTACAGGGAGGGATGGGTGTCAGGCAGGACGATCAAGGGATAAAACAAAGAAACAAGACATCTACTACTTTGTAGTTGTGTCGAGAACTGACCACGAGCAGAAACTCCTACGTGATTACAGGGGTGTCGCTGTGGACCAGGGCTCAAGGAGGAGACCAGTAAAACAGGGATGGCTCCTGTCTGCCTCCTGGGAGTTAGGGAAAAGGGCAGGAAAAGATGGGAGGGAAAGAGACAGAGGGGAAGGAAGAGAAAGAAGAATGAGGAGGGTATAAAAAGTTGCAGAAGGAAAAATGTGTGAGGGGGAGGCAAGAGGGGCAATAAGGGCCACTGGAGGTGTCTGTGACCTCAGACATGGCTGAACTGGATTAAAGGCAGAAAGGAAAAGCCATAATTCTACTCACTTCCACTTCTTCCCCCAACTTCTGTCAGAATCTAAGTAATCACCCATAGTCAAGACCTCTAGCCTACATAAAGCCTTTGTGTGAATGGAAAAAGATGGCTCTCTGGGCAGGCAGAGCATCTTTTTTTTTTTTTTAATTGAAGTATATTTGATTTATGATGTTGTGTTAACTTCAGGTGTACAGCAAAGTGATTCAGATATATGTATGCATACACATTCTTTTTCAGGTTCTTTTCCCTTATAGGTTATTACAAAATATTGAGTATAGGTCCCTGTGCTATACAGTAGGTCCTTGTTGGTTAACTATTTTATATACAGTAGTATGTATATTTAATCCCAAGCTCCTAATTTATCCCCCCACCCCTTCCCCCTCTGTTTGCTTTCTATGTCTGTTCTGTTTCTATTTTGTAAATAAGTTCATTTGTATCGTTTTCTAAGATTCCACGTATAAGTGATATCATATGATATTTGTCTTTCTCTGTCTGACTTACTTCACTTAGTACGGTAAATCTCTGGGTCCATCTATGTTACTGCAAATGGCATTATTTCATTCTTTTTTATGGCTGAGTAATATTCCATTGTGTATATGAACCACATCATCTTTATCCATTATCTGTAGATGGGTGTTTAGGTTGCTTCCATGTCTTGGCTATTGTAAATAGTGCTGCTATGAACATTGGGGGTGCATGTGTCTTTTCAAATTAGACTTTTCTACAGCAATATACCCAGGCAGACCATCTTGAGTGAATGGCTTCATAATTAAATGACATAGGGAAGTGGATGTCGGGCCGACCTTACCCTCTGGCTGGGCACCTTTGTGCAGTGCACACACTGTGCAATCTTACATGGCAGCTCTGCCCATAATCTCATCATCCTACTATGACCATTGTTGCCTTTTGGAGAGAGAATGTCTTAAATTGGCGAGAATCTCAGTTGAC